TCTATAATTTTGACACATACAATGTATTTTTGGCTATTGCTACAAATATACCCCAGCGACTTAACACTGCTTTTGTGCTGCAGGCTCACATATATGAGTGTAAATGAAACATGTACCAAGCAAATAGTTCATACAAAATAAAAGTTTTAATCCTTGAAACAAAATAAATGTTAACTGAAATAACATATGTTGCAGAGCAACATTTCTCATTTTTAGTTTAACTTGATCAAATAAACTAAAATAATTAAAAGTAAAACTGTAAAAGAAAGAAATTACTAAAACTGAAAAGGGAAAATACCTAAATAAAAATCTAATTCAAAATATTTAAACTATAATAGAATAATATGACTACTCTGTATTCATATGGTATATATTGCTATATTTGGTTGTTCATATGGTTTTGAAAAAACTTTTACACTATGTTTAAGTAAAGTTTTAATAACTCTAAAAATGTCATGTGGTGTAAACATCTAATTAAAAGTAATAACATTTTTCTTACCATACGGTCAAAATAAAAATAAAAAAGTATTATGAAAAAGTATTTATTATTCATAAATATCATTATGTTGTTAGGGACTTGCACCACATGATACAACCTGAACTAACCTTGACTTGATAATAAAAAGGCCAAATTATCTAATATTTCAAGAAACTTACTGACCCACAATCATAAAGGTCTGTATCGTTTCCTGTTTTAGGCTTTTCAATGCATGCTGGTCACACCACATGACTTTGATTTGGTGGATAAACGTCCGTCCAAATATTAATAAGCAGCTTTGTTCAAATATGACCTGGATTATGCATTGGAAATGTGTTTTCAGATTAATCTTGCATTATTAAGACATTAAATATATATTATTTATTCACCTTAAATAATAGAAATGTTATTTAGGTTATGCCAAACAACATCTTTTGAAGAAATTTTTACCCACTGTATATATATTTTATATCTTTTTTAAAATATTTTTAATATTTTATATATTTTTTAATCTTTTTCTTTGTTATATCAGGACAGTAGAATCATTATCAATTTTAACTTAAACATCAAAATAAATTTTAATAGAGAAATGAACGTTCATCGTAGAAAAAATGTATCCGAGGTGATCATATGAATATGTATTACATTTATGCATTTTGAATACATTTAACAGATAAGACAAATCACAATACTGACCCATGTAAAGGCAGAATATGTCTTAGGTTAGTCAAGGTTACTTGCACCAAAAAAATCTCAGCCACTCTGACCATTAATAACAAACAGGATGGCTTCCTGCTGTAGCTGTCGCATAATCATTTCATAATGAAAACGACATTTTTCACAAGTAGTCTAGAAAATATATGTGAACAACATGCATATAATAGTAGGCTCAAAGCATATGTCCCATGTGAGGTTCATAATTATATCACACACAGATACATATGTCAGCAAAATGTGAGGCTTTATGGGACTCTGAGCTCTTAAATAAAAGCATGTGCCTGCTGCACAACAGACTGAAGACAAGAGGGTTTCTGAACAACAATGTGCTGAGCATCAGTCCCATGATTCCCATAAAGCGTGAGTTTTGTTTGCACTGGAGCTCTCAGCCTCTCTCTGCCATCCGTGTGTTATGAAGGAAAGTAGGCCACATAATTGACAGTAGTTTCAGCTCCTGATAACTGCTCCGTTGATAACACCACACACACACACACACACACACACACTGAGATCAGGTGACTGATAAGAGGAGGAAGGGTTTGTCAGCAGAAGAGTTTATGGAGTTTGATTTCGGTAGAGCAGCTCTGATGCCGGTCAAACAGACAAACACACATCCATCTGTTAAGTAGGTCATCCAGACTCAGTGAGGATATAAACACTCAAAGGTCACATCTTCACCCTCCTCAGTGTTTACATCAACGCTGCCACTGGACAAAATACACTCTACATTTCAACTACTGATCTTAATATGTATTTTGCTTTATATTTTTGTATCCATTGGCCATTTTCAGAAATCACTCACTGTTCACCTCGTTACTTGTTAAAAGGTATAGTTATTACACATTACACTATTTAGATTTTTCAGTACTGTTACAAAACACAAAAACACAAATGTATTGCATTTTTATAAATAAAATCAATTCAAACATTTACATACCTAAAAAGTCATAGCTTCAATGTAATTATTAATGTAGCTAACTACCTTTTCAAAAGTGTAGTTTTGCTGCGCTCATGCCATATCGTAATTATTAGACGCTCTACTCTGAGCTAGGGCTGGGCGATATAGCTAAAAAATGTATCAACGATATAATGTTTCATATCGTTCAGTATCGATAATTATTGACATTTTTTATCACCTTTTTTTAAAACAAAGAGCAATAGAAAATTTTTTTTTACATTTAACCACTGTATTTTTTAAATTAACTCAATTTATTGAGACAAACGACAAACACAAAATAAAAATTAAACAAATATCTCATTTCTAATGTTTTATATGCAGATTAAATATGTTAAACTTTTGGCTTGTCTCCCGAGGCCACAGGAGGGCGCAATGAGCAAAATAATGCAGCACATTTAATTGTCATCGCAAGGAAATAACGGTCTATAAAAAAACGTGCATTATGTCTAAATTAACTCATAAATCAAATATAATTTCGTAAATTGCATAAACAAAACAGCATCATATATTTATGCATTGCTTAATACAAAGAGCCGAATCGCCCATCACGAAGATTGCATTTAAAACATATGAGACGCAGTGAAAAGGAATAAACCTCCACAAATTCGTGACGTGTTTCTAAATGTTGAAACTGTTTTAACTTTGCATGGCTTTCTGTACATCTCTTGTGTGACGCGAGTGCAGCAGTCATATTTGTCCGACTAAAATGCGCTGAATATGCGTTCTGTGTGAATGGCTTGGTTTGGGTTTTAACCTAATCAAGATCTTCTCCGCATTGAGCTACTATATTTCTCTAATATTTTGAATGAATAACGCAGCAACGGCGCGCAAAAACATCACTTACATCATCATCACCGCATCTCGTGCTCCACCGATGACGCTCCCTGACGCGCGCACAACATTCGATTGTACTATTTTTGCATTCAAATGCAAATGTTTATTTTAAATTCGACTAATATTTTTTTTTTTTATTCACAATCTCCTCATCACAGGCAGGCACAGCACTCATGTGTGTGCTGTCTGCGTCACTCATAGTACGTGCCTATATCATGACGTGCACTATATCGAACATTTTTTATATCGTTATCGAAGAAGGTGCACCGTCGATAAATATCGATATCGTTTTATCGTCCAGGCCTACTCTGAGCTGTTGGTCCTCAGCAGTGTTGGGGGTAACGCATTACAAGTAACGCGAGTTACGTAATCAGATTACTTTTTTCAAGTAACTAGTAAAGTAACGCATTACTTTTTAATTTACAAGAGAATATCTGAGTTACTTTTTCAAATAAGTAACGCAAGTTACTTTTTTTTCCCCCAATTTATTGCAGCTCTGGTGTCCCCATGTTGAGAGAAATCAGAAGATATTACTGTAGTTCTAATATGAATATGAATATGCATGAATTCTTCTCACTCACAAAAACACAGATTCAGTATTCCTCAAAATGAATAAAAATAATGCAACTCAGAATATGACGCAAACCTGCAATAATTAAATGTTAAACAACACAAATATCCTTTATGTATTTAATCCCATTCTATTTCTTCTGCATTCGACTGTACGGACGTAAATGTACTTTCCCTTCAGCCTGAGGCTTATTCATTTCACTTTTGGTGTGAAAAGGCTTTTATATTTGCCAAAAATAGAACTTTTTTATTTTAAAAACAAACAGGCAAGCCCTGTCCAGATTTAAAAAGTAACACAAAAGTAACGTAACGCATTACTTTCCATAACAAGTAACTAAGTAACGCAATTAGTTACTTTTTTATGGAGTAACGCAATATTGTAACGCATTACTTTTAAAAGTAACTTTCCCCAACACTGGTCCTCAGACTCAGAATTATGCATTTCTTATGGCAACACTAATAACACTAAAATGAATGTGTGTAATTTGAGTAAATCAATAGACAAAACCACAATTCAACAAGTAAATTATTAATAAATGTTTAAAGTTTATTTAGCTTTTTACAGGATATCCCACTCTGTGCTAGCCAGTTTTTCATTAATATTTGGATTTTTTTCAAAAGTTTTTTGAGATTTGTATACTTTTTAAATTATGTCTACATATTTTTTAATTCAATTTATTTCAGTTTTAGTTATTTTAATACATAAAGTTAAAACTAAATAAAAATGAGAAATGTTGCCTTGCAACTAGCTGAAATAAAGTACTTTCAAGTAACTTTTCTTTTTTGGTTGTACTTTTAGGTTTAGTTTTAGTTAAGTATACTAACCCTAGTGCTAGCTACATTAAACTATTGCATGTCTTTTGTTTATTTTCAGATTAATCTTGCATTATAACAATAGCCATTTTCAGAATAATTAATCAGAAATATTACAATATAGTACTATTTCACATTAAAAACCTCTTTATATTAAGATGTAGTATATTTTACTGCCAAAGCCGCTGCCATATTGAGTGTTTCCACATGACGCTGCAGCCGTTGTAGCTCTCCGAAAATTCAGTTAGCACGTTGTAATTACGAGTTGTACGAAGACGCGAAGACTTTTACAAGTCGTAATCTCGTAATTGAGATTACTGAGAGAGATCACAGATAATAAAGGAATGTTCCACATTCAATACCAGTTAAGTGATAATGTCACAAATGCGGTCAATAACCACAATGGAAAATAACTGGGCCAACTCTCTGAAGAGTTTAAAAGCTCTTGCAGTGTTACAGTGCAGTAAAAATATGATTTGAGCTGCCAAACACATGTGTTTACGGGCTTCAGCGAGAGGTTTGAACTGCGCAGGGTGGAGTGTTTTGCTACGAGACTCTTTTCAAGAACAGTCATAACAGTTTGTGCCGGGCAAACAGACAGGAGGTCAGAGGACCTGTTTGAGGCCTGAGGGACTTTCTATGGCGCTCTGCACCGCCTCGAGAGAGAGTCGAAGCAGACGTGTGCCAATAACAGGCCAGAGCAGCTGAGAGGAGGGGGCAGGCCCAGTTCAGCAGGTTCCTCGACAGGAAGACGGGTCCAGACTCGTGACTTTGGGCCCTACTGCCACAGCTGATCTGATTACAGACCTCTAAACTGGAAAAAAATGGTGTGCCAACTAGGGCTGCGCAATTAATAGAATTTCTAATCGAGATTACAATTACGGACGCCACAGTTACGTAATCGTTCAAAGCGGCAATTAATCGTTCAAAGTCCACTTATGTTATTCTGCATGCTTAAGATGCATTTTTTTCTTTCTACATGTTATCTTAAGGGTTTTCCCATAGTTTTAGTTTTAGTATAACATTATAATACCATTTATATTTTTACTTTTTTATAATTTAAAGTAGAAACCAATCCGATGTATAGTTGACATTTGAGGCTTAATACTATAGAACAGCACTAAAGGTTTTTCAGTTAAGAGTGTTTTCAGCTTGTTTAATTTCATATAAAAATACGGCATTGCGTTGCATCAAACAATGCTATAAACATCATTCAATGTCAATTGTGATAATCGTAATTAATAATTGCAATTACAATTTCAAGGGAATAATCGACAAAAAAGCCCTAGTGCCAACACTATTACCGCCAAAATTAATGTGTGTAATTCGGGTAATAAATAGACAAAAACAAAATTCAACAAGAAACAGTCATTATGTAAATGCCTTATTAAAAAACCTTTAACGTTTATGTAGCTTTAGTGTTATTCGAACTACATTAAACTGTACTGTAAGTTAATTTATAGATTAATTTTGCATTATTAAAACATTGACATTAGTCATTTATTTGAATTATTAAACAGAAATACTACGAAGCACTACTTAACTACAGTTTACATCAAGAACTGTTCTAATGAATATTCTTCTTAATGAAAATTCAGATAAACAAGACTTCATTATCACTGGCATTCATCAAATAACTACTAACCTAACTTACCAGAAACAAACATTTTGTAATTCTCAGGAAACTGTATTTTGCAGTATTTTTATTTTAAATGTATATTTTATTGGCTTAAATGTGAAATATTCCACATATTCCACCTTCTGAAGGAAAATAAATCATTACAAAAAGAAGAAAAAAAAACAGTCTACTCAAGATAAAAAAATAAGTGTATATTATTTAATTATTTCATGTGGAGAACAAAACGGAAGTGACTTATGAGAATGTACATCTCAGGAAACGGGTCCCGTGTGTTTATAAATGTCTTCATTGTGTTGACTGCATCTGTATCACACACACACACACACACACACACACACACACACACACACACGCGCGCGCTTCTGATCCAATCAGATCCTGCTCGTCTTTGCTCCACCCCTTTGCCCATATATGGTCCCCGGCTGCATGATGTAATGGCTGCTCTCAAAATAAAAACAAACACAGATAGACTTCCTGTCTCTGCCTTTCTCAAACACACTCCCCTCACATACAGCCAGATTAAAAGCGGGAGAGAAAAAAGAAACACACACACACACACACACACACAGAGATCCAGGCACGCACATGTTGTGGGTGGAGGCTGACGTTAAGCTTTTATAAACGCAACATGACTGCAAGAATCATATCACGGCTTGTCCACGGGGACTGGTTTTGTGAGAAGAAAAACTGATTGCACGTCTGTTTTCTTCTAAGAGGAAACGGCACGGCTCGTGTTTCAGCCGTCTGATGAGGTTCAAAAACAGCTGCGTGTGTGTGTACAGGCCTAAAAATCCCTCCATCAAGCCCCAGACTACACGATTGAGTCAGATCTGCTCCTGTCGCTGAGGGAATTGACCAGCACATCTTCAAATCGCTGATATATAAGGCTACATATCCAGGGAGAAAGAATATGGACACATGAGTGGGAGTCAAGGCTGGAAGGTTTTCAGATTGTAGAAGATGCTCTGATACTCGTTTAACGGCTCTGCTTCTTTAATGCGGTTGACTAGTCCACAGACTCGTCTAGTCTTCCCTGATATTTTTTCAGACTGCTTAAAAGGGGATGAAACTGTCAGCATGTTCAAACTCTGACGTTTTTAAATTCAGCCCCTCTAAAGGGGGGTTAAACGCTGAAGTCATCTAAATTCTGCGTCACATCTAGCCCTTTTTTCAGCGTCTGGCATCATAAGTGTTCATAAAGACAGCATGGCAGCAGATAAAAATAGTTAAAAGCATCTCTTTGTGCTCCTACTAGCTGTTTTTAAACACAAGAAAGTGGAGCCTCATAAATGACCGATTTAAAACACTCTACATAGGCAGCAACTTCACAAGACACACAAGTAGTGCTATTGTATGACGTACATGTGACTCAATTGTTTTTGTTTCAATATTTTGATGTTAGCATGTTGCTAAAGCTAATATCATGATATTTTAATAAAAAGAGCACTTAAACATTTCAAATCATTTTTTGTATTGTAAGAATTACAATGATAATCAACTTTCTTAGTTGGCCTTGTTTTTAGTAATAAGCTTGTCAGTTTTAATTGATATTTACTTAAATTTAAGTAGATTTTTTTTTGAGTTTTTGTTTTTATTTATTTAAAATAAATTTCTCAAAATACGTTTCACTTATTTTTATTTCAGTTTTATTTCAGTTAGTCATTTTAGTACTTAAAATTATTTCATGATTTCCTGATTTTGGTTTAAGTCTTTCAACTTTATTGAATTTAACTATTTATTTTTTTTAATAAACAAAAATGTTCTTAATGGTTTTAGTTAACGAAAACAACAGCATTAGTTGCAATGCATTCTGGGATTGCCTTATCCTGAAAGAACATATGCAATGCTTAGAATTTGGCTAAAATGACTTGTTCAGAAGGCAATATAATTTTCCCCCTACTGCATCTGCTTTTGATGCCTCCAAATTCTGCCTATGATGCGATTTCAAGTTTTCCTTTCTCTTTGGAGTGTTACAAGCTCTTGGTGCAACCGAACCATCATAGAAAATAGTACTTATTCAATAAAAAACACATTCTAACCTTCACAATATAAAACCTCCTCCCTAGTAGTTGACTAAGACCATTTACTGAAATTGTGTTGCACACACAACTCATCCAAAATTTGCCCTGGATATGACGTCAAATTTCATTTGAGAGTCGGACAGATGCTGGAAACTGGGCATGAAAAACAATTTGGACGGTGTCTAACAAGCCCTGACTAGCATGATAAGTGTATTTCAGGCTCTTTATTAATATCTGTGGCCTTCAGGAAGTCCAGCCCCACATTATTCTCTCAGATGCTATGTTGAGAACGGGCCGTCTGATGACAATGACGGGATGTTGAACACGGCTGCTCTTTTTCCCTCTTTCTCCGTATTAAAGGCACTTACCATCTGGTGATGACTGGGGATGTTGGCCTCTTGGAAGAAGGAGCTCAGAGCCGTCTGCGGAAAGAGAGTGAGAGAGAGAGATGGGGATGAGCTGGAGGGATCTGTGTTACAACATGAATGAGCAGAATATCTCTGGCTCTCTGCTCCCTCCTCCCTGACTGTGACAGACACGGGTCAGTCGGTCCAAGCACTAAATGTGGGTTTCTAAACCGTCACGCAATCTGTGCAGGATTCTAGGAACTAATACACTATGCGGGCTCAGAGATACAAAAATATGTGAGAGTGGAAAATACACAAACAAACGCGTAGGCAAGACCAGTTTTCCTTTCTAAGACAAGCATCTCTATTACTACTGCTTATACTTTTGTGTCACTGACATCAGTGACGCCTGAAATCATGCAGCTTTTGAGGAGATCTGAGTCTAGTGGGTGATAAATGGAGCAAAAATACCCATAGACTTTCAGTGAAGGAGGGACACTTCTTGACATTTCTTGAGCAAGCAGCTACTTGGCAACCACGCAAAACACCTTAGCAACCACACAGCAATATACTAAACACACTGCTTTATTTTGCACAGCCCTTATGACTCTAAAAATGATATTTATTCAATTAATAACATATTTCCCTTGTACCTTGAATACATGTGAGTGTATACATCAGCGTTATTTCCAATAAGTAAAATATTTCTCAAGATAAAAAGTATTTGAACAAATATAATGACTTCATTGATAAATATCATCACATTTTTGGGGGAGTCACACCACATGACATTTTACCCGAACTAACCTTGATTTAATCATCTGATATTCTATTATTATCTCATATTACAACACTTACAGACCTTGATTCTGACATAATTTCCTGTTTTATGATTTTTTTTTTCTTTTGCAAGTTTGTGTCTGCTGGTCGTACCCCATTTGATTTGGAAGACAAAATGTTTTCAAATTTTTATTTATATATTTCTTTAAAAATAATTTAACAAAAGCTTCAGTGTTTGATAATAAAAGTTTATGCCAAAGTACGGGTGGTTTCCTTTTCAAGATTTTTTTTTAGATATCATTTTGTAGCTTCTTCCTTTATTATGATATCAGGGCAGTTGTAATTATAACATTATGACATTTTTTTACTTCTATTTAAAAATGAAAAACCTGTTCAGAGAAAAGGTGTATTAAAATAATTGTAAACAGCATGCAAACAAATGGAGCCTTATCAGACTATGACGACATGTTTTCAGTTATTAATGTTAAATTTACAAAGTTTTTATTTTTTTCATTTTTTTTTTTAAATTCATGTATATTTATAACTCAACACTTTGCATTAGGGCTGTCAAAAAAAATTCGAATTTCGAATATTCGTCGAATTTTATCTCGAGACTTTATGGCTGGGTTTTTCCCAATCCCACTGCAACTCGTGTTTTTAAACGAAAAATGTACTCTGTGTGATTGGCTTTCGGTCCTTTGTATTAAACTATGCATACATACATGATGCTGTTTTGTTTATAGTTGTTATAGTTTATATATGTTATAGTTTCACAGATAGTCACGCTATATTATGCTTTGAATAAACGTGCATTAGTAATATTTTGCTCGATGCGCCCTCTTGTGGCCTCAATTATGTTACACTGGAACTACAGAAAGCTAGTTAACTGCTGCACGAGTATTTCTAATATAATGGTTGAGGCAGTGATGGCAAATTGGTAAACTTTCTCCTTTAATCAATTTCTTGATATGTCTTCCTCTTTTGGAAAGTCTATGGTGGAATAGAAATGCTATCGTGTATTTTTTCGTTTGCTACTGAAGCCAATGGGAATGCTAAATATATATATATAATTATTTTTTTTTTGCTGAAGTTACAATTCACTAACATTGAAGTTTAAACTACGATGACGTCCACTTTAATGCATCTGAAAAAGGTCCATGCATTAATTACTAATCTATTTCAAACAAATGCTTAGATTTGGGGTGAAAAAAATAGCTTTTAAGAGTAGAGTATCATTTTAAAACAGTTTCAGAATATGATTTGACAATGACTCTCATGCTCAGCGCTTCTCTGAACTCAACATATGGCCTTTAAACCGTCAAAATATTGCCCAACACTTGAGTGTCTGGCCCTCTCTCGCTCAACCCCTCGTCTGGTAACACTTTCCTCAGTGGGCGCCCTCTTCTTTTCCCCCGTCTGGCCCCTTCCCCCTCTCCTGTCTTTATCCATCTTTCTCCCGCTCTCCCGTTTTGTTTAACAACAGCCACGGCAAGTGCAGGAATGTCTGCTGCTTGACGTGACACACATATCAAGATGAACTCGCCAATCTGCCATTGTTTCCACTGCTCCAGAACCACAGAGTTCTTTTTCATCAGATCTTCTCCGTCCCTCCCCCAAACACCATCATGTGTACAGAGCCTGTTTTCATTCAAGTGCTCGATTATTGCTCATTTCCTACTGCACACACGCGGGTATGGCTCTAAACAACGCTCACTTGTACCTCAGAGCATCTGTATTGTATTAATGCTGGCACTGACTGCTAAAGGAGGATTCCTCAGTGTGCAAACCTGGCATCTGCACAAACAATGAGTCTATCCTGAGGTGGATGGCTAAATGTGACCCTGGAGCACAAACGCAGTCTTAAGTCGCTGGGGTATATTTGTAGCAATAGCCAACAATACATTGTATGGGTCAAAATTATTGATTTTTCTTTTATGCCAAAAATCATTAAGATATTAAGTAAAGATCATGTTCCATGAAGATATTTTGTCAATGTCCTACTGTAAATATATCAAAACTTAATTTTTAATTAGTAATATGCATTGCTAAAAACTTCATTTGGGCAACTTTAAAGGCGATTTTCTCTGCAACAGTGAAAAGGGACCCATTTCAAACAGTGTCGCGTTCCCAACGTTGTTTTAACGACATGCACCGGTATTGCGGTATTTTAAAAATTCATACCATCACAAAAATAAACACCGGTATTCGGTATGAACCGGGATACCGCCCAGCACTAGTCCAGGGTCACAAATAATATACAAGCTTCATGATGAGTTTAAATCGAATGCCAAAAAGGCTGTCTGTTTAGGTAGCAAAAAATGAGATTGCATTTAGAACACAAACTAATCGAGAAGTGCAGTGCTCACAGCTTTAAGGCACAGTCATATTTACCATTTTTTGGTGAGTTTGCACAGCCGAAATTCATGTAATTTCAATAGGAATCCACACGATCAGGAATTTCATACGAGGGTGAAAGACTTCCCAACACAGATTTTGCAATGGGTCCAAGTTATCAAACTTTTTTTCTGCAAAATTTTGCTGAATCATTTGTGACTGCAACTTTATATATAGATTTACTCCCATTGCTCCACATGCTTCTATACATGTTTTCCATTGTAACCAATCACAGACATTTCTGTTGAATAATACGAAAGCAGTGACAAACATTAAAAAAAAACTTTAGATCCAAAGAGAAAAGAATCAGGACTACTTTGAAATTTTGGGGATTTGTTACATGTCACATGCACACAATTAAAAACACTGCAAGACGTGTGGAAAAATTCAATTGAATTTTGAATGGTCACTTGAATTCAATTCAATTTTGGGCCCTTGTGAAACTTCCAATCGCCCAACTTCTTGAATTTTACAACATTTTGCCAAGCAACTGTAAATGTGACCCTACTTTGAGCCTGGAGTCTGTGTTTATAATATTATTACACTGTCAATTTTTAAATGCAATTTCTTGACTTGTTTAATAACAGTTTTGTTAATAATGCTAGCAGCACCAATGTGAAGCTGTTTATTCACCATCTTGATTTAATAACGCATAAAACTGCAATACACCCATTTAAATGTTTTTAGCTTATTTTGATGTGTAGGCTACATAAATAATACAGCATTCAATTGTATTATCATGCAAATTGCAATCATGATTACAATATCAAGGGAAGCAATTGACAACTGTGATTATTGTCAGATTCTAGCAGGCAGCCCGCTAGGTTTTGACACACAGCCAGAGTGTGGTATCCAGCCTCTCTGCGAATGATTTCTGCTGCTCCAGTGGGAATAAGTGGGTGCAGAACATGCCCACAGAGAGCCATCTCACCAACACACGGCACGCTCGCAATAAACCAGGTCAGTTATGTGCAGAAAGGGACAGAGACAAATGGAGAATCTACACAGAAGCTGCTAGAGCAAATCAAACTCAATTTGCTCCACGGAGCACTGTCATGTGGATACAGCTCTGAGAATAGCAACAAACACTCGAAAATGTCACTGGTGCCGTTTTCACGCTTGGTTTGATGGCTTGGACAGATGTTTACCACTGTAACTAGGTAACGGCTCGGAAGGAGACGGCACCAGCTTCACTGTTTTATTCATGTTTTTGTCCCTTTTGTTTTATAACACGGAACTTGTGTTCACCAATAATTTGCAAGAGATGCAACAACCTAGATGCTCGCAGAAGGCCATGGAAATGAAGTCATGTTTATAATCTACCAGATTTACAGAATAAGTGCTTTCGAGTTAAAACTAGGGCTGTGCGATTAATCGAAATCGTCATAAAATCACGATTTGAGCGTGCGCGATTTCTAAATTGCTTTATAGCACGATTTTCCGCGCCCCCGACCTCCCGCAGTATGCTATCCGAACCAATCAGAATGCAGCGCGTCGGAACAAACCGGGTGGGCATACAAACGTAACGCCAGGTTCACACACTCCGTCTGTGGTGCGTATTTTTTCCGCGCCCATGTTAATTGATCAGAGCGTTCACACTGCACGCGATTGCGGTCCAGCAGTGCGCTCCAGGAGCGGTGCGTCTGCAGCAGTCATGCTGCGATCATTTCCGCACGGAGTCTATTTCTGCTGTGCTGCACGTGCTGAATTAAAGTGACAGCGCATTATTGCCGGTAAAAATTAACATGGATTGACACGGAAATGTAATTACACCATAAATGCATATAATTAAAGTCTACTGTTTCACAGGCAACACACGGCTTTTTGGCTAGATTTAAAACAAGGAAAAGTGCACTTTTAGATAAACAAGGCAACAATAGATGGCACTCGTAGTGGTAGTT